CCTAACGCCATGGACAGAAGGGTATGGCAATACCCAACTGGTGTTACGCAATGGTACTTTGCTTTCCATTAACCAGACATTATATTCTCCTTGTTTCGGTCGAACGTTGTTCAGTTTTAAGGACATTCGAGCTAACAAATTTCATTATGAAACCATAGAGGAAAATGACATTGAATATCTTTGCATCACTTTCACTTCATGCCGCCAAAAACGCATTTTAGAGAAGTTGACAACACTCTGGTCGGGTCTCTATAAGACATTATTAAACGATTGAGGCGAATCTAGTCATTCTCTTAAAGCCACAAGTCGTCCTATTGTTCACAAGGAATTTTGCATTTGTAAGACTTCTTGCCCATTCCATTAAGTTGAGGTCACAATACCAGGATTATCTAATAAAATATATAAGATTGGATAATACACATAGTTTATATCGAATTTTTTTTAATAATTATTGCATGAGTTTGGGTATTGAAGTTGAACATCCAGTTGCATATGTTCACACCCAAAATATCATAGTAGAAGCGTTCATCAAACGTATCTAAACGATAGCTTGAACCTTGGCAATGAAGTCCAAGCTTCTAATTTTTGCTTGGGGCTATGCAGTAATGCATGCATTGAATTTGGTTAAATTGAAGCCCACTGTCACCCATCCCTTTTCTGTGTAACAATTGGAGATTGGATATGAGCCAGATGTCTCGTATTTACGCATATTTGTGTGTGTTGTATATGTGTCAATTGCATCGTCATAACGTTCCAAAATGGGCCTTTAACGAAGGAAAGAGATTTAGGTTGATTAAGTGTTCCTTTCCATCATCTGTTACTTGGAATCGTTGATAGGAGATCTATTTATTGCCCGGTTGGTAGATTGTGACTTTGATGAGTCAACCTTCCAGTTATTAAGAGGAGAGGATCATACTCGTGTTCCCAAAAAATGCCAGAATTAACGTGGCTTGCCATCACTTTGACTTATCTTGATACTTGAATCTTAGATCTTCAAAGTGTTGCCTAGAATCTGTATATGCCTTTACTGATCTAGGGAAAGTTTGCAAGGATTGATGTTTCTAAAGTCGTCTCTCGAAAAACATGCCGTTCTTGACAAATAAAGAACGATATTGGCAGCTAATTAGTTTAGTGTCCCCTCTTTGAAGCGAGGCATGCCGTTGGTTCGAATTATAACCTTCCATGGAAAAGGAGAGCAACGGCATATGAAGAGACAACGTCAGTCATCCTAAATGTTGGTCATTCTGTCACATCTCATCCATTCTACAACTTGACATTTTCTACAAGTTGACATTGTTCTACATCAAGGGGGTGTCCTGGACATAGGACTTGAGAATCCCAATCCCCATAACATTGAGATCTTTGTCAACTACACTTGTCTGGAAGACATGTGGAAACGTAACGAGATCATCATCAATGATGTGTTTTTTATGTTGTGATTGCTGAAGCCCAACGTTGATCCACTGGCCAAAATGGGAAGAGGCAATCTAGGTCAAAATTGATTCCTTTGCAAATTGTCGCATGGTCAGACCACTAATTGCAAAACCCTTGGACGTAAAACCCGCAAGCTTCATATGGGTATTCATAAGGAAGCGTAATGAGAATAACGAAGTTGTATGGTATAAGGTTCGCTTTGCAGCACTAGGTTTCTCATAACTCACTGGATTTGATTACGAGGAGATATATTTTCCCGTAATGAACATTATTACGTTCCGATACTTAATTAGTTTAGTAGTTTTCGAAAAACTGAGTATGCAGCTTATGAACATGATCACTGGCTATGTTTATGGGGATCTAGATCTAGATAAAAAGATTTGTACAAAAGTCCCAGTAGTATAGTAATACACGAATCAATAACTTCCTAACCACGAAACACACTTTTAATTAGGTTGAAGCCTTTGATATATGTTTTGAAACAATCTGGACGGATGTAGTACAAATGCCTAAGTGAGTACTTGATTAGAATGCGATATGAGAACAATGAATTATGCCTTTACGCGTTAATTAAGACCAATTCTTGTTTTGCAACAATTGCAGTATATGTCGATGACATGAACATCATTGGAAGATCATAAGAGATCCAAATGATTGCTATGCACCTGATGAAGGAATTTGAGATGAAAGATCTAGATAACTTTACTAAGTATTGTATCGGCTTATAGATGACTTTACTAAGTATTGTCATCTATAAGCCGATACAATACTTAGTAAAGTCATCTAGTACTTTTAATTTCCTAAAAGTAAAGTCATCTAGTACTTTTATGGTCGTTCGATCTTTGGATCCTAACACCATTTTAGTCCTAAAGAAGATGATGAAGAGATCTTTGGACCAGAATTATCCTATCTTAGTGCAATTGGAGCTTTGTTATATTTAGCCCAGTGTACTAGACCAGACATCTCATTTGTTGTGAATCTCTTGGTTTCGAGCCAACATGCCGCCAATGGAATGGCTTTAAAGACATATTTAGATACCTTAAGGGTACTATGGACATGGGCCTATTTTGTACTTACCCATCTCAGAAGTTTGATGCATGCTTGTTGGGTTTGCCGATATTGGGTACCTATTAGACCGCACAAGGCACTTTCCCAGATGGGTTATGTCTTTATCGTCGAAAGCAATGCTATATCCTAAAGGTCTACAAAATAGACTTTGGTTGCTACTTCGACTAACCATGTTGAATTCGTGGCCTAGGCCTATTATGAAGCTACCCAAGAGTGTAGTTGGCTATGAGCTATGATTAAGCATATTCGAAGTATGTGTAAGTTAACCCTTGCTATCGATGACATACTACGTGTAAGTTAACCCTTGCTATTGATGACATACTGACCATTTATAAGGATAACACTACATATCACCAAGTTAAAGTTAGGCTTAATCAAAGGTGATGACACCAACACATTACACCTAAGTTTTTCTTCTCGCCCGAACAGTTGCAAGAGAAGAAAATTGAGGTTCGTCATATTGGTTCCTAGGATAACCATGCTAGCCTATTGAAGAGCTCATTTTAGAAGCACTTTAGAGGCATTGGGTTATGCAAGCTTTCGAAGTTAGCGAAGGCATCTTGTCGATGCAGATGTGTATTGGGTTACGCAGGCTTTCGAAGCTAGCGAAGATATCTTGTCGATGCAGATGTTTTGAAGCACCTAGTCGTGTGCTAGTAACGCATTGGCTTGTCTACTCTTTTCTTATTCACTAAGTTTTTATCTCACTAGGTTTTTCTTATAAAGGTTTTTAATGAGGCACCAGTTCTGATCTTCTGACCAGACAGTAACGGTTTTACGTCACTTGAGCCATGCTTGAAGTCATGGAAGTCCTCTTTAGGAGTTTTGCTATTCTTAGGGGGAGAAATCCCAGGAGTACGAAGTTTCTCCCACACTATTAGCATTTCTCCCTACTTGGGTTTTTTTTTTCCGGATAGCCCATGTAAAGAGCATATACTTCATTCTTAAGAGAGATAATGACGAGGCATTAACATGTAGTTCTTGCGATTACCGAACTGAGCAACTCGTGAACGTCCAAGAGGGAGTGTTGCATGACATTTATGTCTGTGCACTAATTGGTGATTCTTTGATTGAATACGTCATTCATTCCTCAATTAACTGTTGTAAACGTTAGGCCATTGATTCCTCAAATGAATAAGCCATTTATTTCTAATTGATTAGGCGATTGATTCTCCCTATTAGATTAGGGGATTTGTGTGATTTCCATGATAACACTATTATATAAAAGTGATTATGCCTCACATTGTAACATATTACAACAAATTCTCTAATAAAATTCTCATATCTCTCAAATTGTTTTCTTTTACAACACTTTTTATATTACGGTTTTTTTTTTTGTTTTTTTTGTTTTTTTACACCCACAGTGTGTGGGGCTTCATATAGTAAAATTAAAAAAAAAAAAAAAAATCCAACAGGACACAGAATCCCACAAATTTAGTTGGTTGAAAACAGTACTTGTCTGGAAGGGAAGCTTTACGCATGCACCATCGCGAACGTTACACACAAGCACAAAGAAAGCCAAAACTTCACCATAACCGTCCATTTGTTTCCACCACCGTGGTGATTTGATTACAATAAAGTATGGAATCGCTTTGTTGCCTGTTTGAATAAAAACATGGGTCCAATCCAACGCCCATGGTAATTGGCCTCTCTCTCCACTTTCTCTTCCTCTATATATGTACCTCCTCACCTGAACTCTAATTTCTGCAATCCACAAAAAAAAAAAAAAAAAAAAAAAAAAAAATTAGAAAGAAATGGATGTTTATATTTCAGAAGAGTATGTTATGAGGAGAAGGATGGAAAGAAAGGCTGCTGCTGGCAATGGCAATGGGAAAAGTTCAAAGATGGTGCTGTCTGAATCTGGAACGAGGAGTGAGGAGAGGGAAGCTCGGCCAGTACCAGGTCAAGCATTGCGGCTTGAAAAGAAAAGTGGACTAAGTGATATTGTTTTTAGCTGCTTCTCAGCATAATTTACCACTTAATTAGGCTTGTATGTTTATAGCGTGTTTAATTTGTAATGTGTCTTGATTTAGACGTACATTGATCCCTCTATTTTTTTTTTGTCGAACATTGATCCCTCTATTTCACTTCAGTAGTTTTGTAATCTTTACTGTTGGACGGAAGTGGTGAAATACCCCGGATTTATCATAACATTTTAATAATTATTGTGCATTACCTAGGGATTAAAAGTTTAATTTTACTTTGTTATGTGTACTGGAGCTACATGTGACATCTTTTAATCTTTCGGTCATGTAAAGTGTACTAGTGTTACTGTGTCGTTACATTTCTACCCACCTTTATTAAATTTTAACTATTTAATTATTTTTTAATTTATTTAACTTGATAGCCAAAAAAAAAAGGTATATAAAAGTGAAAAGAGTGCAAAAAAATCACTTTCCTTTGAAATAATTGAACACACTTAAAACAAAATTTCAGTCCATTTTATTATTTGATTGGCAAATATGTCTTCGAAACTCCCATAAGAAAATATGGTGCAAGAATTACAAGAAATTTTTTCCACATGGTGTTACCAATTTACATATTCAATATAGCTTTTTATATGCGTAAGAAACTTCGAGTAAGGTGAAATTTTATTAAACTGAAAAAAAAAATTACCACAAGAAACATTTATATACTATTATATATTGAAATGTATGTACACATACACACACTCTTGGGAATTTGTGATAGAGATGAACTATGACTTCTCCAATGTTTCAATTTCCACCGGTGTGATGTCTTCAGAACAGCACGACCCCGAAACCAAACTGACAAGAAAATCGAAGATATCAGTGGCTACGACAGCCGACGCTACATCGTCTTTGTGCACTGTCCTCCTCTTCCCTTCGAGGGTGGTCATCCAAGACCTCCGAGTGAGCTCCTCTATGAACATCTCACATGCCTTTGAGAACACAATTGGAGCCTCCCCAGATATCATCTTCACATCCTCCCCAGAGTTCTTCATGATCTTCTTGATCCTCGCCAACGGTAGCGAGTGGGGCCCAGTTCTCCCTGATATGCCGCCACACATCGTCAATCCTGAATACCTTCTCGGTTGCCTCATTTCTATTAACAGTTAAAACTCTCTGATCTCAGGTATAGAGGTAAATATTTCTTTTTACTAACAAAACGAAGTTTAAGTTGTTTACGACCTTTCAGTCCATAAGTAGAGGTGTGAAGAGAATGAATAATGCTGTGGGATATGAAGGTGCATATATAAGGGAGCAGCCGGCAGGCCTGGCCAGCCGGCTAATTAAACCTAATGACCAAGCATTAATTTGTTAATTAATGTATATGACTTCAATAACCATGTTTATTTTTCAAAGATTGCAATTAATAAGGATGAATTGTTAAAATGGTCAAGCTTATATATAAGTGGGACGTCAGCTTAAAAGTCGCGACAAATTTCTCAATTGTGTGCTATAGCATGCAATAATGGACATATACAAATTGATCATGGTTCATTTTTATTGTATTTTATTGAGCTTTGTATTGGTTTCTTATGTTTGGCTTTTGAAGCTCAATTAGAAAAGTGTTCGATCGGTTGGAATTTGGTCTAGTTTTGTTGAATAAATAATTTTAGTCTAGGCATGCAGCAGCTCAGAGTTATGATCTATATATATTAGTCTACTGGTAAATGATAATACAAAATTTGAACTGATTGGGTTTGAAAGCTGGCCAAGATTTCAATTGATAATATATAAATAAGAATTAAGAAATCTATTAATTAATTTGTTTTATTTTGTTTCTTTAAGTAAAATTTTCTTTATGTAAATTTCACAATTTAATCAAGAATTCATAAAATCAAATGAAGCTGATTTTTTGTGATCAATTACATTATATGGTCGTTAAAGGCTAGGTAGGTTACTGTTGAGAGTTGTTCCAAATTAGTGAGGGACAAAGTTTGCTATGTGCTTATATGATATTGGGCTACTCCCCATACTGCTAATTGATTTTATGGTGGAACCTCAATTTCATCATGGTATCAGGTTGTCCTTGTGTGAAACCAAATGGCCACACGTGCTCCACGTCACCCAGTTGTTGTCCACGTGTAGGCTTGAAAATCCGTCACACGTGCGGGGGAGTGTTGAGAGTTATCCCACATTGGTGAGGGACAAAGTTTGCTATATGCTTATATGGTCTTGGGCTACTCCCCATATTGCCAATTGGTTTTATAGTGAAACATCAATTTCATCAGTTACACTATTCTTGGTCGGACTAACCATGTTAGCCGTCCGCCCACCACCAGTACCAAATATTGCCAATTGGTTTTATGTTGGAACATCAATTTCATCAGTTACACTATTCTAGGTCGGACTAACCATGTTAGCCGTCCGCCCACCACCAGTACCACCGCCAGACTTTGCCAGTGCACCGCCTGTAAAACTGGTTATGGTGAAAATATTGAACACGTGGGACCGCCACAAGATATTGTTTGTTTTGTAGTATATACAAAGCAAACATGAGCTCTTAGTTGGATTAAAAGACATGCACAGACCACATTCAGAAGTTAAAGAAAATTTTCCTCTCTTCGATTCCTTGAAATTAAGGGGTAGTTTGATAATTATATTATTTTCAGCTTTAGATTTTTTTAACATGAAAACTAAAGTAAAAGTTACATTCTTTTAGTATTCAAATTTTGACTATTAGTTTTAGGGTTTCATTTTTTTTTAAATTAAAAATAATTACTGAATAAGTTTTAGTTAAAAAAAAAAAATGAAAAATAAAAACTAAAAATTGAAAACAAAAAACAAAATGGTTATTAAAGACCCTAAAATGAGAATGGGTTCTTATTAGGCAGTCCTAGTACTATTGAATTTCGGGCAGCTGTTTTAGCAGTACCCTCTTTTGTATCTAATGTTTTAAAATTACTTCAATTCTACTTAGAGCAAGTTCACCCATTAGGAAGACAAGGGTAAGGTAAGGGCAATGCAATGAAATTGCTATGACTATTCACTCAAAACAGTAATTGTGGAGCCAAAAATAATCACAAGGCGACGTGAATTTTTGGGTAAAAGAGAACAAAAATACCCTTGAGGCATACCAGGATTCCTACGCGCGAGCAGCGGACAATCATCCGTCAATCAAGTCAAAAGTGTCCAAAATAGGTAACAAATTCAAAGATATTCTCATCCATCCTCATCTTAGGTAATTATTTTATAACCTACATAACATTCCATTTAAGTGGAGGTTAATTGGCTAATTAATGGATTAATTCATAATTAATCCATTAATCACCAATTAAATCATCCATTACACCCCCAAAAATACCCTAGGGCCGGCCACTCTTTCTTCCAAAGAGGGCTGGTCATTTTCTATAAATAGGACTCAATTTGCTCTAAAATGTTAGTTCCACACTCTTGCAAAACTCCCAAAAACTCTCTAAACACTTTTCTCTCTAAATTCTAACTTTGGCATCAGAGGTTCTTCGGCCAAAGCCCCCCCCATTCATCGTGGGCACGTGAGGCTCTTGGCCTTGACCCTAAGGTGTTAATTGTTTTGTAGGTGCAATTTTGTCCAAGAAGAAGAAGGCGGAAATTTGCATCCACAAATTGGTGCTTTCATTGAGAGAAGAAATCCACACTCGTAGAAGACTCTCGCATGAAAAAAGGTTTTTCTCTATTTTCTAGTCTACTTGTATTTTTTCGTATGTTCTTATTATTAGAATTTTTTATTTGCAAAGATTTTTTGATAAAACGTAAAAGAAGAATACAATGGCTAGAAATTTAGAAAATTCCACGAGTGAAAATTCCAATATCCAAGGAATGGGACTACAGCGATCCACGAGGCTAAATGCGATAATAAGTGGAACCGCACCACCACCATGAGTTTCCACCACGAGAACCACCGCGGTGGCTACCTCGGTAACCACTCGTGGCGAGGTCCATGGTGCCTTCACCATGGCCCGAGTCGTACCATCCAAGGCTAACGGCACTAAGGCCACGACCCAAGCCATGTCACTCCAAGCCCAACGCAAACTCAACGCGTTGCCAAGCCAAGCCCAAGCCTTGCACCCATGTGTATCACACTCCGAGCAGCCTGTTCCCGCCGAGTAGCCCACTCTCGTGGCCTAGCTTGCTTCCGCCAAGCAGCCCATTCTCATGGGCCAGCCTGCTCCGGTGGCCCAGCCTGCTCTAGCTGAGTAGCCCACTCCTATGGCCCAACTTGCTCCAGCCGAGCAGCCCACTCTCATGACCTAACCTGCTTTCGCAACCCAGTTTGCTCATGTGACCTTCCAAGTAGCCCAAATCAATCCAAGATTAGTTCAACTATCCTGGCTCCAAATTTCCAGACCGACGATCGAACCAGGAACATTTTCACCACATTTTTCTACGGATTTGGCATTTCCCAACTCAAATCTCGTGCCCAGAGTCTACCACACTTCCTTTGCTTAAGAAGACGCATTCATTCCAAGCTATTCCAACCCAAATGGAGAACAACACTTGTCTCGACAAGTCATAGAGTTGACGAGCACCCTCGCACAACAGATGACCTTGGTGAACCAGCTCTTGCAGCGCATCGAGATGAAATGTGCCCCAGACGAGGTGTCACGAAATAGGACAAGGGTAGACAAAGAACCTCTTTAGCGTCTCGGCAAACAGCCACGAACTAAGCGTTCAGGTAGTGTACACTCCTGATTGGACCCCCGAGATAGCATATACTCCCGTCTTAGAGCACGGAGGAGCGTGCACTCTTGACTAGGCCCATAGACGAGCATACATTCACAGTTGGGGTCACACTTCGATAGTCAACATGAGCAACCTTTCAGGCAAAGAGTTCATTCACGGCTAAGCCCGCAAGGAGCATCCTCTACCTTACATCAGAGTAGGCAGCACGACAGACGGAGAGAAGCAGTCACTCAATCCGACTCAAGTTCAACTGGCAGTCTACGAAGAACTAGCTCGCCTGCTAGAAACGCGCTACACACATTACATCCGCGGCATAGAAAAGCCAAACACATGGAAGAGCAGCTTAGACCAGCAAGTCACGTTTGGGGGCAGCCGAGAGCTCCACTACTTCAATAAAGGCAAATTCAGGAAGAAGTGGAAAGACTCTTGACCAAGCGATTGCATAATTTCCAACGCAACGAGGTCATGGACAAGGCACTACGATGGAACATGACCAACATAAGCATGTTACCTTTCACGGATGAGATCGAGCAGGTAGAACCTCCATGTGAGTTCAGCATGCCACATTTCACATTTTTCAAAGGGGATGAAGACCCAGAAAGACACTTAAAGCACTACCGAAGCGCAATGATCCTCTATCAAAACAATGATGATCTCATGTGCAAGATATTCGCCACCACTCTACAAGGCGAGGCGTAACATTGGTTTTACACCCTGCCGCCACAATCCATCTGGAATTTCGACAACTTTCTTTGGCTTTCACCAAAGAATATTCATCTTATCACTCGATCAAAAAGAAGTCCAACCATTTATTCGAAGTCAAGAAAAACCCAAAGGAGTCGCTTCGCGACTATGTGAAGAGGTTTAAAACAGAAAAGGCAAAGATAGTCAGATGCAACAACTCGATAGCTAGAGCAGCCTTCCAGACAAGAAAAATTAAATTTTTCTTACATCGGTGCAGGATGAAGAAGACGAAGAAATCAACGAAAGACAGTCCTTTGCACAGGCAAGATGTAGAAGATTGCTAGAGGAAGGGGAACAAATATCTTCTAAGCTATCTCTCTTTTGTAGGGTAAAGTAGATCGCTCTCCAAAGTTGATTTAATAACCCACTTAACGTGGACTTAAATAGACTTTAAGAGAAATTTATTTCCCTTTCATAGAAGGATCTAATTTCCTATTAAAGAGGGAATCTACATCAAAAAAGGAAGCAGTCCTATGTTTCATAAAGCAAGAAGATCTCTGCACCTGCTGTCCTTTCCTGTTAGCAGCCCAACAGGTGTGGGGCATTTGTGGAGCCAAAAATAATCACATGGCGACACGTGGATTTTTGGGTAAAAGAAGACAAAAATACCCTTGAGGCATACCGAGATTCATACGCGCGAGCAGTGGACAATCATCCGTCAATCAAGTCAAAGTGTCCAAAATAGGTAACAAATTCAAAGATATTCTCATCCATCCTCATCTGAGGTAATTATTTTATAACCTACATAACATTCCATTTAAGTGGAGGTTAACTGGCTAATTAATGGATTAATTCCTAATTAATCCATTAATCACCAATTAAATCATCCATTACACCCCCAAAAATACCCTAGGGCCGGCCACATGTTCTTCCAAGAGGGCCGGT